AAAGTACTTGACTGCTAACCAGAAGGCTGGCAGTTCAAACCCACCAGCCACTCCTTGGAAGGAAGGTTGGGCAATCTACTTCCATAGTGATATCGCCTCAGAAACCCAAGGAGGGGTCGCTATTAGTTGGGGCCTGCTTGACGGCACATAACAACATGATCTACTATGCCGGGAATAACAAATTGCAGAGGAATAGCATGGCATTCATCATCACAAAGGATGTTTCAAGATCTGTCCTGAAGTACAATGCTGTCAGTGACAGGATAACATCCATAAGCCTACAAGGAAGACCTGCTGATACTACTATTATTCAAATTTACTCACCAACCGCCAAAGCCAAAGATGAGGAAATTGAAGATTTTAACCAACTTCTGCAGTCTGAAATTGACCGAACATGCAATCAAGATGTGTTGATTATCACAGGTGACTGGAATGCAAAAGTTGGAAACAAAGAAGAATCACTGGAAAATCTGGCCTTGGTGACAGAAATAATGCTGGAGATCGCATAACAGAATTTTGCAAGACCAATGACTTATTCATTGTAAATACCTTTTTCAACAACACAAACGGTAGGCTATACACATGGACTTCACCAGATAGAGTACACAGGAATCAGATTGACTATATCTGTGCCAAGAGGTGATGGAAAAGCTCAACATCTTCAGCCAAAACCAGGCCATGAGCTGATTGTGGAACAGAAAATCAGCTGCTTATACGCAAGTTCAACTTGAAGTTCAAGTCAATTAAAACAAGTCCACGAGAGCCAAAATATGACCTTGAATATATCCTTCCTGAATTTAGAGACCATCTAAAGAATAGATTTGATGCATTGAACACCAATGACCAAAAACCAGAAGAATTGTGGGATGACATCAAGAGCATCATCCATGAAGAAAGCAAGAGGTCATTAAAAATACGAGAAAGAAAGAAAAGAGCATAATGGATGTCAGAAGAGACTCTGAAACTTTCCCTTGAGCAAAGAATAGCTAAAGCAAATGGAAGAAATGACAAGATGAAAGAGCTGAACAGAAGATTTCAAAGAGCAGCTTGAGCAGACAAAGCCAATTACTAATATGAAATGTGCAAAGACTTGAAGTTAGAAAACCAAAAGGGAAGAACGCGCTCAGCATTTCTCAACCTGAAAGAACTGAGGAAAAAATTTAAGCCTCGAATTGCAATACTGAAAGCTTCTGTGGGCAAAACACTGAATGAAGCAGGAAGCATCAAAAGAAGATGGAAGGATTACACAGAGTCACCGTACCAAAAGGAACTGGTAGAGCTTCATCCATTTCAGGAGGTAGCATATGATCAAGAATGAATGGTATTGAAGGAAGAAGTCGAAGCTGCCCTGAAGGAATTGGCGAAGAACAAGATTCCAGGAATTGACGGAATACCCATTGAGATGTTTCAACAAATGGATGCTCCACTGCAGGCACTCACTTGTCTATGCCAAGAGATTTGGAAGACAGCTACCTGGTCAACTACTGGAAGAGATCCATATTTGTACCCATTCCAAAGTAAGGTGATGCCACAGAATGTGGAAATTATCAAACAATATCATTAAAATCGCATGCAAGTAAAATCTTACTGAGGATAATTCAAAAATGGTTGTAGCAGTACATTGACAGAGACCTTCCAGAAATGCAAGCTGGATTCAGAAAAGGACGTGGAACAAAGGATATCTTTGCTGATGTCAGATGGATCTTGGCTCAAAACAAAGAATACCAGAAAGATGTTTACTTGTGTTTTATTGACTATGCAAAAGCATTTGATTGTATGGATCATAACAAATTGTGGATAACATGGAGAAGAATGGGAATTCCAGAACACTTAATTGTACTCATGAGGAACCTATACATAGACCAGGAGGCTGTCGTTTGAAAAGAAAAAAGGAATACTGCATGGTTTAAAATCAAGAAGGGAGTGTATGAAGGTTGCATCCTTTCCCCATACTTATTCAATCTGTATGCTGAGCAAATAATCCGAGAAGCTGGACTATATGAAGAAGAACGTGGCATCAGGACTGGAGGAAGAATCATTAACAACCTGCAATACGCTGATGATACAACTTTGCTTGCTGAAAGTGAGGATGACTTGAAGCACTTACTGATGAAGACTGAAGAATACAGTCTGCAGTATGGATTACACCTCAATATAAAGAAAACAGAAATCCTCACAACTGGACCTATAAGCAGCATCAGGATAAATAGAGAAAAGTTTGAAGTTTTCAAAGACTTCACATTGCTTGGTTCACAATCAACGCCAATGAAAGCAGCAGTCAGGACATCAGACGACGTATGTTGTTGTTGTTGTTGTTGTTATGTGCCGTCGAGTCGGACCCAACTCATAGCGACCCTTCCTTGGGTTTCCGAGGCAGTATCACTATGGAAGTAGATTGCCCCATCTTCCTTCCAAGGAGTGGCTGGTGGGTTTGAACCGCC